AGAGGTTGGGAAGGCGCCTGCGCTGCCTGAGCTTGTGCTGCCTGAGCGGCCGCTATGATAGCACCCAGGTTGGTGTCCGTGCGCGGTTGCTTGGCGGCAGCTGCGGCCGCAGCGGCCTGCAGGTTCTCTGACGCAGCCGAAACACGCTCACTCAATGATATTCAATGCTGATACAGTTGGAGGTCTTCCAAAAGTAGAAAGTATGAAAGAATCAGAAGGCCTTCCAGTCCCTACACCCTTGGACAGTTGCTGTTACGAAAACACTCCTGACATCTCCTGGTACCTTGAACCTCTGAACTATTCTGCAGGCTGCCAAGGCCCTAAATGACAATGGCCAAACCGCGCAGACCCGGTATGCATCGGCCGTCCAGCAGCCCTTAGGCCTGGGCTGCATCTTCTGCTGCCCGCTTCTGCCCTTGCGGAGGCTCCCGTCGCCGGCCCTCAATCAGCACCATCGCCTCCACAAATGGTGCCAGCGATGCTAGAACTCCATCGTATACAGAACTCAGAAGTTATGGGATTTTGGAGGCCGGGCCGAAGGTTTTGATGTGTCTGTGGGTCAAAAGTGTGGGCCAAAACTCCAAACTGTAAATCCTTTCACATTCCAATCATCAGTCAAGTAGATGGATGCCAGGGAGCTTGGATGCCCAAGCCGGGCCCCTCCGGCCTATGCAAAGCTCCATCGGCAAAACGTGGACGGTGAAGGCGTGGGCCGTGATTGTCAAATGTATAAAGGCTTTCAGCATATACTAAGCTCAACTGGTGGTCTCCTCAAATGTGTTTTGGTTCTACGTTTGTTGAAACAGCTCTGAATATGATCTGTCTCCCTTGCAATGATGCTCCCGAATGCCAAATATGAGGGGAAAGTTGACATTAATTGCATCAGCTAACGAGGTCTGTTCCAGTGTTCTCCCCATTTTACTCCGGTTTCTCTATGATGCTACAGTAGTTGCTTTCAAGCTGGGTATCGTCGACCAGCTAGGCGCTTCACTTCACTTCCATGCTATGCCTCTACGATCCTGTATATGCATGCCCTTGAACCCAAAGAAACTCCTGGAATTCCTTTGCTTGCCAGGCATATTGCTCTACACTCTACACTATGCCTGGCACAGCATGGCTCCCAAGCAGGTCAGGCGCCACTGGGAACGTGTCACTCGGGAGCATCGGAGCTTGTCAAAATCCAGAAAGTGCGACTTGACCTGAGGTCCAACCGTGCTCGTATGACAAACACACTACATAGAATCTTTCATTAATTATACAGTACAGTACCGCTTCAAGCAGAGCTTTCGAGCGGATTCTTTTAGTTTCGAGTTTGCCAAAAGGAAAGAGGAAGCAATGAAGCAATGAGAGGATCAGAACGAAAACAATGAATGTGATCCCCGTATTGTCTCTCAGCTCTTCCCCAATTCTCCCACCCATTCTGTGTGGCTTTGTGATTTGGTTTTCAGTCCCTCATTCGGAGCAGGTACATGAATGAACCCAATTTGGCTATCGGGACACACACATACACACACTATTACAAATAAGAAGCTACTAGGAACAAGTGCATCGCTTCTAGTAACAAGTGCCTTACTAGTAGTAACAAGAAGCTACTAGGAACAGGTGCCACGCTAGTAGTAACAAGTGCCTTACTAGTAGTAACAAGAAGCTATTAGAAACAATACTATGGTGCGACATAGCGACGT